CTTGCATACCAGGTATTGTTCTGAATATTTCATATGTACTGTTTCACTTAATTCTCATATGAGATCAGAATCTAGAGAAGCCCCATTTCATACATGAGGAGACTGAGGCACCTGGATTTTAAGTAACTAGCCAGTGGTCATCTAGCTAGTAAGGAGTAGATCTGGGATTTGAATGTGAGCAGTCTTGTTTCCTCACCTGTGCTCCCAAACACTGAGTTGTACTGATCGTGCTGCCTCTGTGCAGAGCAAACATGAGACCCTCCGTTCTCCCTCTGCATCCTGGTATCTCTCCGCTCTTCTCATTGTACCTTATGTCCTGGCCTTATCAGACTTCTTAAGAGTTCTTTGAACAGCACATGGTGTTTTTTTCTTGCCTTTGTGCTTTTACACTTTTTTGTCTTTCTGAAAAATTTTTCTCCTGCTGCCCTCTTAAGACATAAACCTCTTTTTCCCCTCCAAGATAGACTGGTTCTGTTATGTTTTGTTTTAATATGGCTAACATATTTTTTTTTAATGTTTGTTTATTTTTGAGAGAGAGAGAGAGAGAGCACATGCGCGTGAGAGAGAGCACGAGCGGGGCAGAGAGGGAGGGAGAGAGAGAGAATCTCAAGCAGGCTCCTCACTGTCAGTGCAGAGCCTGATGTGGGGCTTGAACCCATGAACTGTAAGATTATGACCTGAGCTGAAATTAAGAGTCAGACACTTAACCATCTGAACCACCCAGTGGCTAACATATTTAAATGGATTTAAAGGGTGGCATCTTTTACCATTCCTGTTAAGTAGCATCTTTGGAGATCCTTCCCTGACCTCCCAAGCATGGATTAGGTTGCCATCTTCTTTGCTCCCCAAATATGCTACACTTGTCTTTACATTAGCTTTTATACTGAATCATAACTGGTAGACTAAATATTAGACTGAGGTTGGGGCTTGGGTCTCAGTCTCTTAGCATGTAGCCTAGTCACCTGTTTAGTGAATGAGGACTTAGCGGGGGTTTAGAAATGTAAGTCAAACTACAGCCAAACTGAGAATCCATATTTGAGGATCTCTAAAATTGTTACTTTGGAGGATCTCTAAAATTGTTACTTTGGAGCTACTTAAAACAAAGGACTTATTTTTCAGGCTCTCTCAAAGATGACTCACTACTTCATTAAATAATTTGTGAAGAGGTAGGTTTAGTAATTTAGGACCCTTGACTAGTCTTTTTTTTTTTTTTCAACAGTAAACCCCTTACCCATTTAGCCCATCCCCCCTCCCACAATCCCTCCAGTAACCCTCTGTTCTCTATGTTTAGTCTGTTATGTTTTGTCCCCCTCCTTGTTTTTATATTACTTTTGCTTCCCTTCCCTTATGTTCATCTGTGTCTTAAAGTCCTCATATGAGTGAAGTCATATGATATTTGTCTTTCTTTGACTAATTTCACTTAGCATAATACCCTCTAGTTCCATCCACGTAGTTGCAAATGGCAAGATTTCATTCTTTTTGATTGCCGAGTAATACTCCATTGTATATATGTACCACATCTTTATCCATTCATCCATCGATGGACCTTTGGGCTCTTTCCATACTTTGGCTATTGTTGATAGTGCTGCTATAAACACTGGGGTGCGTGTGCCTCTTTGAAACAGCATACCTGTATCCCTTGGATAAATACCTCGTAGTGCAATTGCTGGGTCATAGGGTTGTTCTGTTTTTAATTGTTTGAGGAACCTCCATACTGTTTTCCAGAGTAGTCTTTAATCTTATATAAGAAAGAAAACTTCGCTTTTTTTTTCTTTAATTTTTTTTTTTAACGTTTATTTATTTTTGAGACAGACAGAGACAGAGCATGAACAGGGGAGGAGCAGAGAGAGAGGGAGACACAGAATCTGAAACAGGCTCCAGGCTCTGAGCTGTCAGCACAGAGCCCGACGCGGGGCTCGAACTCACAGACCGTGAGATCATGACCTGAGCCGAAGTCGGACGCTTAACCGACCAAGCCACCCAGGCACCCCAAAACTTTGCTTTTTAAAATTTTACTGGAAGCATTTTTCTTTTCTTTCTCTACTCTGCTGTCCCAGGCTATTAATCATGTATTCCCTTCCTTTGCTCTTGAGTGGAGCCTGAGAAATCTCTCCTAGCTGCACAAGAAGCTAAATCCTGACTTGTCTCTGGTGTAATCAGTTTATTTTTGAAACTTCTATCTAGAATTCTAAAAAATATACCTAAAATGTCCAAAATTTTCCTCCATTTCACCTCCCTGGTTGTTGACATGGTATTTCCCTATGGTTATCTATCTAACCATAATCTGGAAACTTGGGGGTTATTATCTTTGACACGTCATCTCCTTCATTACCTTTATGGGTTCATCATCAAGTCTGGTCCACTTTGACCACTCCATGTCTTAAATGCAGCCACTTTTCCAACATCTCCCCTTTAAACTGCTGCAGAGCATGCTGTCATCATGTCTTGCCTGCAGTGTTGCAGTAACTTCTCTCCCTGTACCCGCTCTTGCTCCCTCCCAATCTGCTCTTGACCAAACAGCAAAAATGATTCTTTTCATATTTCAAAGCTGATCATTTATTTATGGACTGGGAAGGTGGGTATGGTTATGAAAGGGCAACATGAGAGATTCTTGCATTGATGACACTGTTCTGTATCTTGTATCCATGCCGATATCTTTACTGTGATATTGTACTACAGTTTTGCAAGATGTTACCATTGGGGGAAACTGGATAAAGGGTACAGAGGGTCTCTCTCTATTATTTCTTATAACTGCATGTAAAGCTGTAAGTATCTCAATTAAATTTCAGTAAAAACATGATCATTTCCTGTTTAAAACTCCTCAGCACTTTCCTACACCTTTTAGAATAAAGACTAAAGTACTTACTATGGTCTTCTATGACTTGGATCATCTGGCTCAACACGTCCAGCCTTGTTTACTCAATACCACTTCACTAGCTGTCTGTGTTCCAGACACACTGTCTTTAACATGCCAGTGTCTTCACTCAGTGGCCTTCCTACTCACTTCTTCTGCCCCAAATATTATTTACATTCCTTTGATCAATTCCTTCTCATCCTTTGTATATCATTATTTTTATTTCTTAAAGAGAAGATGTTCCTGATTCTCCAGACTAAGATTTCTTCCACTAGGAGTTCATAAAATAGCTAGTGTGTTTCCTTTACAGCAGTCATTATAGTTTGTGTACATTCACATTTGTGTGGTTTTTTTTTTTTTTTTTAAGGTGAATTAACAAATTATCCCCAACTGTGGTAAGAATTTTTTTTTTCCATGTGGATCTTCAATCCCTATGTGTCTCTTCCACCAGGCTCCACAGGGGCAGGGTCTGTGTCTTTATCCTCAGCATCCAATTCAGTGAATAGTGAGAATGTGTAAGACATGAAAGATGCTGTCTTTTCCTCTTTGTTCCCTTCTTGGTATCTAAGAAACAATTTAGATCCTTAGGCCAGGGGAATAAGTCCCAATCCAGATATCTTGTTCTCTTCCTAGATCAGGAGTTTGACTTGCTCTTGGATCGTCTGAAGATAAACCTCTTGTCAGATCACAGAGGCATTTATTAGAGGAAGGATAGGGTATGGTTGAGTAAGACAAATGCTCTTGATCCTCATGGTTCAGTCCACCAAAGAGCCATCTTGGGGCCTGGCCTACTTGTCTCTGGAAGATGGCCAGCCTGGGATTTGCTAAGTAGGTGGAGCTCATTTGGAGTTTTCTGAATGGCCATGGCTGTTTTCACTGGCTTGGCAGAATTCTGTGCTGTCACACCGTGTATTGACCTACCCAAAGTAAGGTCCCATCTCCGTGAGTGTGGGTGTATGATTTGGTGAGTGTTAGTATTCTTAGTTGTAGACAACAGAATCTGCCCTAGCTAGTCTAAATGGAAAGAGGTGTTGATTAGCGCATAGAATTTTTACATATAGAATTTCGGGGAAGACCAGACAGTTAAACAAACTTAGATGTGTCACAGGCAGAAGCATTGCAAACAGGAGAAGTGCTCAGTGACACCAAAGGACTATTTGAGTAGAAGTCCCATGGCTGCTGCTACCTGCCGCAAAGTTAAGATCAGGTAGCATTGCTTTTAGAACTTCTGCTAAGTTTTGACAGAAAAACCATATGCCTGCATGACTGTTTGACTTGAGAGCGTCCAAATTCCAGGGAGTCTCACTTTGGTCTTCTGGGTCTTGATAGGTGTGCCTTATTGGTGGAAACTGCATTTCACATGGGACCTTAGCTGCAAGGGGGTCTAAGAAATACAATCTTTAAGCTTTCTAGTCTCTAGGAGGAGGAGAACATGCTAGAACCTGGTATTGTATGAGCTCATCTGTTGTTTGCCATAGTAGATTAAAGACTGACAGTTGACAGATATACCTCATTGGCCAGTAAATGTTTTATTTGACTTTAGTGCAAATGATTAAGCTTGGTGTACTATGTATTAGGAATTTAACATGGGAACATATAAAATGAAACAGAGTAATAAGATTATTTTAGATTTTCAGTGGTGGATTTTGCCTGTATTGAATTATGTACTTTATAGAGCTATATGATTTTGCATAGTACCCAGGCGTTTGCCTATGCATTCATGGAATGCAGTTATCAAGAGCACTGAGTGTTGGCTGTTTCATACCGTATTAGGAGCTAGTGATACAAAAGAGAGTAAGACAGTCACAGTCTGCATTCAGGAAGCTCACAGACTTGGTGTGGCAGTGTTTTTCAATGTGCATTCAGATTGTGAAGTTAAAAAGTAAGAGAGTGGGACTCCACGTTTTATATCCACTCTCAGCTGCATGCACCAGTGACTGATAAGCAGAGTCCAGGAACCAAATGTTTAGCAGACTTTCCTGTTGATTCTAAAGCATTCTCCCTTGGTGAAGAACCCCTGGTCCAGTGGGTCAATAATAACCATTTTGTTGTATTGCTTTTGAAAATTTAGTACTATGTTTCAGTTTGTAGCAGTTATTTCCCACTTGGTTTTAGAAAGTTTTGCAAACACGTGCTTGTTTTACAGGAGCGGAGTTACCAGGGCAGGTTATCTCCATGGCAGCTTCTACTCTGGCAACCTTGGCCATCTCCATCACAGGGTATGAATCAAGTGCCGATGACCAGCCCTCCGACCAGCCTGCAGGTGACTGAAGGGATGTTTTCAAGTACAATTCTGGAAATTGACATATACACATAAAGTATAAACTTAAGGACATGAGCATCACAGAATGCTATTTACTAGTCCTTCATTTTCCTCTGATTTCTATTTTTATACTTTTTCCTCCTCTCATCTTTGTTCTCATGTATCACTTTTTTCATGCTTTTAATTATTTACCTTTTTGTTTCTTTTCTTGAATCTTCATCTTTTCCCTTTTTTTTAAGAAAAATGCTTTTCTTTTAATTTTTCTTTTGTTATTCCTTCTCACTTTCCCTTCATATTATTTCCTTTTTCTCTGTGCCTCTTCTACGTTTTCCATTATTTTCTGCACTTAATCCTGTCCTTATTTTCCATTTCTTCTGTAGCCATCCGTTCTCCATTGTTCTGGTTTTGTTCTAACTCTTTACATTGCTTTTGTTGTTGATCCAACTTTTTCTTTTGGTTTTTATTTTCTGTCTTACAGTTCTCCCATTTCTCTGGCATTTCTTGCTTCTCAAAGTTTGCTTTGCGTGTCTTGTGCTGTTAATACATTGACTGTTTCCCCTGAAACCAACCTGTCTGCTTATTCTGGATACCATGCTCCTGCAAGATCAGCTGGTAGATTTATATCAGCTTTAAAGTCATACTGTACTCCCACAGAGTTCAGAAATGTAAAAGGCCATCTCTGTGCCAAGAAGTTTATTAGTGCCAGGGGCTTTGGAGTTAAGGAATATTTTTGGTGAGCTCTTCCTGAAGAACGGACTTTAGAAAAGTCTTAAAAGGAGAGATCAGCTAAGAAAAAAGCATTTGGGGTAGCAGGAAAACATATATTTATTGCACATTGAGTTATGTTTTCAAAATGAAGAGGGGATAATGTTTTGGTTAGGGACTTATTATTCTTCTGAGTATCTACCACACTTACCAGCATGAAGTTTCCAAATTAGAAAGATTCTCAAAGAGCAAAGTCAAACAGAAGCGTGTTATAACTAGCTTGGGCTTTAGCCCCAAACCTCAGGATAGAATGTTACCTCTGATAAGATGGGCTGACTTACCACGATGCTACTATATCAGTAGTAACAGTTTACTCACAGATAAACATTGAACATTATAAACACTAAGGAGATTATGATATAACCATCAGAGTGCTACTCTGTAGTTTCTTATGAACTTTATGAAATCACAGGGAAGGCTGTCTTTGAGTATTATTTAGCGAGTGTCCACTATTTAGTGAGCATCAGGTACTATCCTATGTGCTGTTCAGCAGAGGGAGAACAAGACAGACAAGGTCTTAGCTCTCCTAGAAGTGACATTCAACTGAAGGAAGAAAGTGTGAAAGGGTAAGTGGAATGTGGTATAACTACATACAACTATGTAAAGACTGGGACAAATAGGGGGTTGGAGTTATGAGTGTTCTTGTTTCTTTCCTCTATTTTCTAGACTTTATGAAATATCTACTTTTTTAATGTTTATTGTTTTTTTTTTCAACGTTTTTTTTATTTATTTTTGGGACAGAGAGAGAGAGACAGAGCATGAACGGGGGAGGGGCAGAGAGAGAGGGAGACACAGAATCGGAAACAGGCCCCAAGCCATCAGCCCAGAGCCTGACGCGGGGCTCAAACTCATGGACCGCGAGATCGTGACCTGGCTGAAGTCGGACGCTTAACCGACTGCGCCACCCAGGCGCCCCAATGTTTAT